GTCGAACAAGTTATCGAAGCAAAAACCTTATAGATAAATTGCATAATCCTTTGTGATTCGATAGAGTTATTAGTTTTCAATCAGGGCTGACAAGAAATGAAATAAACTCAATCGATAATATTCTTTCAATATCTCTATATATGTATATTTCATTTCCCGAGGAAGAGAAGCATTAATAACTTTTTTTACTAATTTTTTATCAATATATTTTCTGCACATTATATATACACACACACACACACACATATATATACAATATCTTACACGAAAAGTATAATATTAAATTTCAAAACTTCATCAAAACAATATAATAAATTTAAAATCAAAACAATAAATAAATAGTAAAATAATAGTAAATAGTAAGTATAATTATTTGTTGATATTTAATCACATATATTTTTAGATTTCGTACATATGAAACGTTTCATATATATATGTATAATATATTGTATCTCTTCTTAAAATTTCAATTTAATTAATTTTATAATATCAAAGTATTTCACAATTTAAACAACTTTTATCTTGTATTAAAAATTTACATTTTTACGCAAAATTTAAAAGTATGGCTCATTAATTCTCTATAAATTCCAATAATTTTTAGTTAAATTTTTTCCTCATTATTCACCATTAATCTTATCGATTATCTATTGATATGACGGCGCCTTATATTCGTAAACAATTCGAAATGTAAGTACAGGTGCGGATATTATCATATTATTATTAAAGCATGTATTCTTGTTGTTAGATAGGATTATGGATTATACATATAAATTATACATATATTATGTCTGACATATTTATCGCATTAAATAATATGTCTGATATATATTTTTACACAGAAATTATCGATTATTTTATCGATATTAGTTCGATTATAATTTCTTATTAAAAATATATATCTAACATTTAATACGATAAATATGTCAGGCGTAATACTTTATATAATTTATAATCCTCTTTAAAAATACAAGCTTTAATAACAATTTGATAATATCTGCACCTGTACTTTTCGAATTGCTTACGAATATTTTAAGACGCCGTCATATCAAATACAAATCCCCCATACTCACAATCAGTCTTCGTGTAGAATGTTTATTGAATGATTGTTGAGAAAAAAAAGAGAGAGGGGGAGAGAGAGAGAGAAACAAATATCAGAAAAATATAACATCACCGTGGCTGACAATATGCTTAATGAATACGCGATTGGTGCTCGTCTTATAAATTTAATTTTTGACGAAATATCGCATAAACGTGCCAGGCGCGTCAATGCGTTCTATATCGAATATGTAGTATTGATGTATTTTTTCTACTCCTATTTTCTTTTTTGATCATGGAAACTTCAGCTCTTACTATACTTGACTATTTCTACTCCCTTTCACAATTCACTTTGATATTTTAAAGATATTTTCAATTCTCTCACATATTGCCAACATTCTACTATTTTGATATTATAACTTGATCACAACGATGCATAAATATTTCAAATTCGAAATTTCTTGATAATATTGTTATAAATGAAAATTGATGTAAAAATAATAGTACCAAGTGCATCTACATAATATATATAGTAAAATCATACTAAACTCAACATGTTTGCTAATTTAAAAGACAAATCATCGAGTTACTAATAAATGAATAAAATATTAAGATTGTCTAGACATGCTAATATAAAAATAATAATTCTAAATTAACATTTCAATGCCTCATAAAATAAAATAAATATATTAATTTTTATTTTACATATAATGTAAAAATGTACGTGTGAAAAAATAATCTTATAAAACAAATAATTAAAAATAAATTCGCTCAATAATCAATAGAAAAATAAATTGCTTTAATCTTAATTAAAATACTTATAGAAAAAACTCAAACGTTCTGTATAAGTTATAGTTATTAGTGTATTGTGAGAGATCCCAGCTTTCATAATATTATAAAATTATAAAAATATTAATATCTTTTATAATATATGAAATATGCCTAAACTATTTTATATCTCTATAGAACTTTATATACTAATGTAACATATTTATACAAGATTGTCACTGATTTATTATTGTCAATAAACGCTCCATTTATTCGCCGATTGAATTCGTTTTCACAATTGTTACGTTGTATCTGTTTTCACTTCGCTGCTTATCATTTAAACGACATGGCGTGCTCACCTCGTTCCGGCTTATTGCTGCCTGCTGGAATACCACAAGAGCGATCTCCAGGCTCGACTAGTCAAGAGAGGGTACGTTAAGTAGCGATCGATTATTCCTCCTGTGAGATATGCAAATCGTCCCTCTCCCTATCTCTGTCACGCGCACTCTTTGCACCACTCTTTCGACGATTACTCCAGTTTCGGTCGCGCCCCATTCTCTTCTGCAATCCTTTTTTTTCTTTCCTTCTCGCGCGCGTTAGCTCTCTCGTACAAACTGAAACGTCTGTCACGTGATTTACGTCCTGAGAAAATAAGAGATCTCGCGTTATCCTGTGGGTCAGGGCAGGACAGGGAGAATTGGAAAAGAAAGGAAAAGAACGGAACTACGAAGTCGACAAAGGAAGTGCGACCATCCTAAATCTTTCGACTTTCGAATGTTAGGCTCGCAGAATCACCACTTATCAGAATGACACTATCTCTTGCTACTCGGTCCCTTATAGCTTTCTTTTTTGCAGTTTTTTTCGTAATTATAATTCTTTCTTTTCACTTAAAACGTTAGCTGAGATATTTTATTGAATATATAAAATATATATTATATAACAAACTTTTTTACAAATTTAAAATTGACATTTGCTTAAAAAAATCTGATGATGGGAGAAAAATAAAAAGATATCGTACCTTATATTAATTATACAATGTAAATCAAATAAAGTTATAAGTTAAACTTTTCTTCAGAAAAAAATTGACTAATGTTACTAAACGAATATAGCTTTCAAAAACAGAAATATAATTTGGGCATGTTCTGCATAATCATATACATTATTTACATAATATGCACTCTTGAATACTTTAATATCACTGAAATACAATTAAATTACATTGCAAAATTACAAAATACATTGATATTAGCATATCCAGAAAGCCCCACCGGACAGTCTATCATACGATGATTTCTACAGTGATTTCATGATTTATCTCCAGAGAACACCATCAACATTTTTGTTGCTATTAACTACTAGTTATTATTATTTCATGCGAAGTCTCGACGGTGTAATAAATAAATCTACTTTGAACTGAGAGAATAGAATTCATATATTTCAACATATAAAAGCTATTTCAACACATACATACGATTTTAGAGAAAGACATCTGAATATTTAAACATTACATTTTATTCTTAAAAAACCAATGATATAATTTAATAAATATAATTAACTAAATTATTGCGGATAAATTTTGCAATAAAATGCATGATAAAAAAAACAATGTATTACTGCATCGTATAATATATTAAACATGCTTTCGTGAAAGTTATTACCTTGATTAGTACAGTATATTCTACAGCATTATTTTGTAAGAAATTTTTTACAAATAATTGTCATTATCACAAAATTCCCCACGTAAAAGTCAATAGACATCGTTAGTATTTACATTAAAAATTAGGCTAACCATCATATTTGATTAGACGTAGTGAAAATAATATCTTAAGCTACATTAGCTCATATAAATTTCCGCAAATCATAAAAGTAATTCTAATACATATTGTTCTTTTTAACTCAAAAATCAATTATTTAAAAGATTTACATAAACATGTGTGTGCGTGTGTATGCGTGTAAGTGTACATATTGAAGATGACAAAAGAAACATGTATCTAGCGATAATAAATATTAGCTTTGTACGCAAAAATCTGCAGATTTCGCGTGATTTATTCAATTTCTGTACATCGAGATAGTAACAATCAGTACGTGATTTTCAAAAATGTCCCGCATTAGGCGCTCCCGATTTCGACAATTGAAAACACGTGGCAGTTTGAATCTGCCTGAGCATTCAAATTGGTCGCGTACGCCAGTTCGCGAACGCGTTAAAAGCACGCGCGAATTTGCGCAATCGTGCGCGTGCAAATTTTATCGTGTCGCTCATCTGCGTTCAAAAGAAGACGCGGATTCAGCTCACGCTCGACCCAATCTCCGGACCTAGCATGCCATCGAGAACCCCTTTTGCTCCTCTTTTTTGGTCGAGCATCGATAAAAATATCCGATATATGAATCCGCCTTAGATACCTCGAATCTCGATGCTGTCCGCTCGTAAATCCGCAGAGAAAAAGAGAGAAAAAGAAAGAGGAATGAGAAAAGAGCGCAGCATGGTCATATCGTTATCCGTTGAATCCGCACGACGATACCGCGTCTTTTCATGGCCGAATGGATCACGAATGTCATAGCAGCAACACGGGTCCGATTCGTATCCACGTTCGTGAAACATTCAACGTCTGTGGAGCTTTTCAGAATTTATCATAGCACGGATCGGTAAAAGCCTCATCTTTTCTCTTAACTATCGTTAATAGCACCGTTGAGATATTGTTAAAGATAGCCAGTCTTACGGGTATTCACACAGTTTGAAAAATCCGCTATACACTTAATCCCTTTCTTTAGAAATGTAACAGATAAAATAAGAAATAATAAGCACACAGTTGATAACAACAGAAATGCAATTATTCGCGAAAGAAAACTATTACATCGATATATGTGTACATGTATAAATCCGTTAAAATAATAATTTAATATAAATATAAATAAATAAAACAATATGTAACACAAATAAGTATAAATAATAATATAAATATATAAATACACACACGCATATATATATATATATATATATATATATATACACATATATATGATCTTATTGTTAATATTATTTGCACGGTGATACTCGAGCAGCAAAGTCGTGCTGCGAATATAGTCAAATTATAATTTATATTAATTTTATTTTAGTTTTTAATTTTAAATTCTAATATTCAAATTATATTATGATATAAAATTATATAATATAACCCTCCCATGGGTACACCTTGACGCGGTGGGAGGGCTTAGTACCTGAATGGTGCCTTGAGGCTTTATCTTAAATTTTTTTATTTAAGATAAATCTCTTAAGGAACCTGAAAGGGAAGCTAAGTACCCATTTTTACACGCCCATTGTATTGCCACGCTCATACGGTACGCACATTTAATGCGTTGGACACACATTGTGTCGTTGACTTTTTGTCATCGACCCTGACAATTTTGATAACCTGAGAGGAGATCTAGGAAAGGCATCGGGCACCAATGGAGCAATCCTATGGTAAATAATTTATTGTTTATATATAATTGTTTTTTAATTGCGTAAGCGTGATTTAAATTAATTTTGTAATTTGATTTTTTATTTATAGCCTAAAGAAGAGAAAATTAGAGAAAAAAATTTTTACATAAAAGATATAATCTTATAAAAGTTTTTATTTTCATATTTTTTAATATAGTTGTTAGACAATTATTATTAGTTGTTAAATTATTATAGTAGAATTTTTTCAAAATTTATAAAATTTTTTATTAGTCTGTTTATTATTATATGCGTCGAATATAAAATTAAACGCATATGTATAATTTTTTAAAATATTAATTTTTTTAGCGTAATTACAATTTGGATGTCTCCTTAATATGTTATAGATTAATGTAGCTAACAATCTTGATGACCTAAAAGGAAAAGGAGACTTAAGAAAGCTTATATGCGCTATTGCTTCAGCGAAGCAGAAGATGAATATTTATTATTTGTATATTAATTATGTGTATGCTATAAATTGCACATTGATCGCATATTCATTTAATCTCATAATTTAATAATATTAATTGAATTAAATAAAAGAAAATTAGGAAGAAAAATTTTTTACGAAAATTGTGTAGAAGTTTCCATTCAAACAAATAGTTTCAAAATTTATAAAATTTTTCCATATGTATATATCTTATTATTTTATACGGATATAAATTCGATACAAAACTAATTTCTTGAAATATTAATGCTTTAAACGCTATTATATTTTGGATTTTATATTTATGTTACAGACAATAAAGCTTCGATATCAATGACTTCTCTTACACATGAGTATTAGTATCAATATCGGTGAGTGTTAAACTTTTATTTAATTTTCAGATAACGGATTTGTAGAGATTGTAGATGTAGATTATAGATAATAGAGGTTGTAGATGTAGATTATGGATAAATCCGTTATCTAAAATAAATGGACTAGAATAAATTAGACAAATTACCACATTACTTTTAACAATTTCTTGTAATATTCATTAAAGCATATTACGAATGCAAATTAAAATTTAAAGAAATATATTATTTTAATGTGTAATATATAAAAATTATTGAATAATGCATGTGAAATGTAGATATTAATTGTAAACCAATTATTCAATTAGTTTTTCAGTTTTAGTTTCACAAAATTTAATACCTGCTCTTTTAATATTACAAAATTGTGAGCTGACACAATTATTGAGAAGTTCGAAATTCATATTAAATATATTCATAAATTTCTCGTATTAAATATTTGTTAAATAAATTAATAAAAATAATTATATTAATAATGTTAATATATTATACATCACGTTAATCTTCACGTTTTGGTCTCTTTGCTGGAGCGCGATCGTTACTTTAATAAAAGAGCCTTATGTCGGATAGACACTAATAAATACGTAGTACTGTACGAAAAGTCGAAGCGGCCTTTATTGCGGAGAAATCATTTCTCGTCGGTTCTTATGTAATCCATCTACGACGTCTAATTCGGTTCGTTGAAAACTAAAGGTTTCCGTTGCAGAACTGAATTAAACTCAAATTTTCTTGACTCCCTTCTTGAATTCTTGGGAGCAATAATTTTAACAACGAATTAACAATGAATTAACAGTAACCGATTTTTTGAAATAAAAATTATAAAATTAATTAAATAATATATTTTGTAGAAAGAGTTTTTCTCCTTTTTTTATTAAATATTTTATTATTATTGTTAATATTAATATTATCCTAATGCTTTGAAAAAACTGAAATAATAAAACATTAAATAGCTATTGTGTATAACTAAATATTATAATTTATCAAATAGGTAAATTTAAATGTAACCTGTCTGCTCGCCGCTGATAATATTTTTGGCAAAGAATGGTTAAGAACGAATATATTTTATTAATTAATTTTTAATCAATTTTATTTTTTATCTCTTTTGAAAAATAATTTTTAAATGTTAGATATTCCAAGTTATCAATATTAGTTTTTAAGTATAATATATATATATATATATATATATATATATATATATATAATAAAGTATACACAAACTGTGATACAATTATTTGATAAATTATTTTTTTAGTTGTATATTTCATTATTTTGAGATATTCTTAAATAGTAAAAGAATGTTTTCTCGAGCAAAATTTAATCAGGTAAATTGAAAATGATAATTGATTCATTGAAATGTGAGAGCTACTGAGAGTCCGAAAAATTTTAAATTTGTTTCATTCTACAACGGGGACCTTCTATGATAACGTTATCAAGATTAAGCTTCCAAATAATATATTAATATATATATATAACTATATTAAATTATATAAATTTACCATAAATACACCACACATTATATATCAAAATAAAATATATTAATATTTATACATATTTCTATCTAGTTTACAATTTTGTATTTACTTGGTTTACCACTAATCCTAGATAAGTAGACGTTCAGTGAATCATTAGACCACTTGAGACTGCCTTCCTCTCTCTCTCTCTCTCTCTCTCTCTCTCTCTCTCTCTCTTTCTCTCTCTCTCTATTTTCGCGTAAAGCTACCTGACGTAGCTACTGAGTTGCGGTTCCAAGGATCGCTGTTCCGAAGACGCTGTTTACAAGAGTGCATCCTGGACTCTATTTGAATCTACGAACCGTGTCTTTGTTTACCTTCTTATCCGTGAGTGCTCCTCGTCTTAGGAGCATTAGTAGTCAAAGTTGTTTACTCGCTTCCTTGGCATAGTGTGTATCAAAACCCGTACCCAAAATTAGATGTAAGAGATTTAAGTTTACTTATAAACCGTGGAAATAGATTCTTAAGATCCTTGTTAATAAGTTGGAGAAAGTTAACAAATTAATTCGTTATTTACCTCTTCGTTAGTTATCTCTCGCGGTAGATTCATCAAAATCAATATCGTTTTAACTTCAATATGCTTTATAAGATCTCTGCTAATAATCGCTACTAATATATTTCTTGTCGAAAACTGAGATAATTTTCTTTTAATTGAAACGTCTTTAAAAAAAGTCCAGTTTTATCAATGACTTTATAAGTAAAAATATCGTAAATTCAAAGATCTTGTAAATCTTATTTAGATTATATTGATCGATATTTTCATATCATTTCGAGCGGAAGTTAATTCTTTGCTTACTATAATTTGCGAGTAGCGCTAGACATTTTTTCGATTTCGTTCGTGTCAATAGCACGAGAGAAAACTTTCCATTTTCAAAAAGAATGGTTTCTTTTTTTTTACAAAAAAATATGTGCTATAAAGAAAGACAAGCGAGAATTATCATGGATTTTTCGATATGGCCGACCTCATATCGTTAGATCTTCGAAATCAAAAATGAAATAGACACTTCATATTCACTTATAGCGTGTATCACGATATCGAACCAATTTAGAGGCTGAAACGATATCGTGTTTCATGCGTGTTTCATTCGGCTTTTCCGTGCAGCTGCAAGCGATCCGGCATTAACCATTTACGGTCCAGTACCACCGTACGCCATCGTGCAGATTATATTTTTCCAGAACAAATTCGCTAGCTTAAGCCATTCCATCGCCCGAATGGGCAACCACTCTATATGCCATGAGTATTCGTTCATTATTTCTGCTAGTTCTAATTCGTTCGATTCAATACAAGATTTGACAGTCCGCAATAAACTGAGAATTAATGAAAATCATCAAATAATGTAAATATTTGTAAATTTGTAAATAATGTAAATTATTGATAATTATCCAAAAAATATATATAGATCTTTTTCTCAATAAATTACTACAATTTGTATGGTTAATCTGTTGTAACACTCAATATAAAATAATAATGCTGACTTTTTCTCCTATAATGAGTCATTGTTTCTAAATTTTTCAATTTTCAATCGTTCAACACAGACCTTCAGACTTCAAACGTCAATAGATTGCAGTCACTTTTACACAAAATAAGTCATTTAGTCGTGTAATTAATCGATAAACAATAACGAATAGAATAGTAACAAAGGGAGATCTTGATCAGAAGGAACGTGCAATGGGATGAAGATTGAGGGAAATTCGAGTCAACAGCTACAGATACTATTCCTGGTATGTATCCGTATAAAAGCACTCCCGTATCCGCTGAGCGAATCCAATGTTTATTGTGAGGTCACATCGGCGGAAACCACTGGTCGTTTGGCTCGCGAACCAATGTTTCCGAACTCCGTCCCAACGCGAAAAGCAGAAAGCTACGGCGATCGTAAATTCAATATCACCAATCACATCAAATACGTTTCTGTTCCAAGAAAATCCAGACGGTCACTGATCTCGCAAATGACATTTATAAATGTTATTTTTATTTAATGAGCAGAAAATGCAGTCAAATATTATTTTAGCAGGACGTATACAAAATTGTGCATATATTATATATAAATCTTTCAAGCATATAATTAAATATTTGTTGATACTGTTAAATACGGGAGATAAAGTAATGTTTAGTCTTTTATATATATATGGCAATTCCGCTGTCCCAAATTATAAATTAATTGCATTTTTATTTTTACGTATTTTATCCGTAATCTGTCAAATAAATTTTTGTGACATCAAAATCTTTCGTTTTCCCTAACTGGAGATAAAAATTACAAATTATATCATATATTAGCATTATAGATTGATTTCTCTGCGAAGATGTACATCTCGCACGCGTGAACTAATCGATTCTCTCACAACAGAGAGTAAAGATTGACTAATCCATAGGTAACAATCCGGTAATAATCCGCATGGAATGGCAATAATCGTGGCAACAAGGAGTCTAGGACATGTTAGACAAACTTGTGATCGTTCTATTGGAAGATGAGCAAATGTCAATTACCAAAGCGCTTATAAGAGACAAAGTCTTCCTTAAGGCGGATCCCTTTATTAAACGAGCTTATTAAGGATACGACAATAGAACAAAATTGTTATATGAATAATTAACTGGCAAACATAATAGCGTCAAATATCTAAACGTTAAACCAAGTGTCAACACATCGTCGCATACGTATCGGTCTTTAATCAAAGCCTTTACTTACTAGTATACAGATCCAGTCAGAAATTGCGCTTATGATATTGCTATTCTGATATGACATTCTCTGTAATAACGCATAAATTTGCGAACATAATTCTAAGTAAATATCATAATATTAAAAAAAAAATTGAAGTACATCTTCGAAAGATCTCTAGTCAAGACTTTCTAGATTGTAGTATTTTTATCTATATCTAAATTTTAATAAGAGACGTGTTCTATCTATATGTATATTTAAAGTTATTTGAAAATTTTCTTAAGCTTAATGCACAAAGTGCGAATAAAATTATATATAATAATTATTCAATATAATATTCTTTACTAAATAATTATTGACGTAATTTTATATAATTCTATATGCATATATCTGATAATTATATTTACCGTAAATTTGATTTGTAAAACTCATAATTTAATTTTTAAATGCATAACTAATATATAAACGATAAGAGAAAATGAAAATAATTTGGCATATAAACGCAAGGAACCGACTTACCCAAATTCATGACTTTTTAACGTAGGGCTCTGGGTTTATGAGCTTCACTATACCCGCTATTATTTCGCCTACTGCGTCATGTATACACGGGAACTATTCCCATATATGTGCACCCATGTAAACATCACGCTGCAGAGGACAAAGACCCATTTCGTAGTCCCCTCTGGCCTAGCATGTCACGGAGGACTAGTGGGCCACTCGCACCCTTCGTGATTTATTGCTGGCTGTTTATGTCTACCTCTAATTGCTCCCTTTCGTACTGGGAATAAGGACCCGGCGATATCCATAAAATGTGCTAAGTCGCACCATTTTGCGATTTAAT